CCATAAAGTGCACCCAGTTAACGTGTATGACCATTACACCTAAGATCACATATAACTAAAATTAAATATGTAGTTTGTATAAGGCCTAGGATTTGAATTCCCATAGACTTGTCTGAGAATGCAAAACCTGCTTGAAGTGAACAAAAGCACATTGATACAGGCCCAACTAGATTGATCTCATGTTTATTAATCTAACTAGAAGCTCCAAATTTCATACATCAAGTCTGATGTGAGCTTGATATTTACATGGTGTCAGGTGACACGCGTAATGTTGTTCATTACTGAGATGTATCCCATAAATTCCTCAAATTGATGTTCTGGCCTTGACCGCTTAGGGCATTGTCCACAACTACTTTTCACAATTTAATACAGTGTAAATGAGGATTTTCACACCAAATATCTGTGAACCCTACTATTCGAATGGAAATATTTGAAAAAAGCAATAGACAATGGGAACCCATTTCTCTACCTACATTCCGATAAAAACACATATCATCAAACAAAAATCCATTATGGATTAGAAAAGAATATTAACATTTACAGATAGAGGAGACACAATCCTCGTATGTACATGTTTTTTGGCATTGAATAGAAGATGAGCTTTGTGTTTTGGTCAACCATGAGTTTGACCCAAACTCTAGCTGTTTGGATAAACTGTAAATAAATAGGTTCATATGCTGCCATAATAACCAATTTACACTCATGCATTTCCTGACCTTTAAACTGTGATCAGGTAAAACAGAAAAGCCAGTAATGGGGGGTTTTCAATTTGCCAAGCCACTTGCTGTAAAAGACAAGTTGACCTTTCGTAACATGTTATACCTGTATTCAGGGTGTAACGTGTTACTGTAGGACTGGCCACCATATATCCTCCCACCCTGATCCCCCATAGTAACAGCTAGCGGGAGATCTTCTCCACCTAATTTCATTATTAAAAAAACATGGCTGTGCTGTGAATGGGAACCTACAAGTATCAACAGTACCTTTGTGACTGTCAGCTTGAAGTGCTCACTGAACTACCTCTCAGTTCTGTTGAGTGCTGTGATAGTTCACTGATTATTCCTGTCAGTATAAAACTGGCTGCTCATACACGGTACGGGCAGACAGAATGCTGATGCAATGCTTTTCAGGCTCCTAAAAAAAAAAAAAGAGTAAAAGCACAATTTTTTATCTGCAAAAACATGTGCATTTATTATTTTTTGTTAAAAGGTGAACTTATGCTTGAAACGTCTGGTTTCCTGTCAGCCTTTTGTCCATATGTGTTGGAGTTGAAGTGGGGAGAGACAGCTGACAGAGCATTTTCAGGGAGTGAAAGTTACTGCTATTCAGTGATATAGTGCTACATACAGAGCTATATAGTGTTATATACAGTGCTGTATTGTGTTCTTTTTTGTATTTTATTTCATATATTCATGTTTTTTTTAAAAGTTTTTGCTAGTTAAAAAATAAAAAAAAATGGTTTTGAGTTATAGTACTTTGGGGTTAATGTTTTCTGCTGCGGTTTATAAAGTGAGCAATGTTGTATTAAAAGAGGTATAGATTCCAGAGAGAGAGAGATATCATATTACCCCTGTACAAATCATTAGTAAGACCTCATCTGGAATATGCAGTTCAGTTTTGGGCACCAATTCACAAAAAGAACATTGGGGACTGGAGAAAGTACAGAGAAGGGCAACCAAACTGATAAGAGGCATGGAGGAGCTCAGCTATGAGGAAAGATTAGAGGAACTGAATTTATTCTCTCTCCTGAGAAGAGGAGATTAAGGGGGGATATGATCAAAATGTATAAATACATCAGTGGTTCATATAGTGAACATGGTGTAGAGTTATTCACCCTGAGGTCATCACAGAGGACAAGGGGGCACTCTTTACGTCTGGAGGAAAAGAAAGTTAATCTCCAAACATGGAAAGGTTTCTTCACAGTGAGAGCTGTGAAAATGTGGAATAGACTCCCTCAAGAGTTGGTTCTGGCCAGCTCAGTGGATTGCTTTAAAAAAGGCCTGGATTGTTTCCTAGATACACAGAATATAACTGGATACTAACATTTATAGGTAAAGTTGATCCAGGGAATATTCAATTGCCTCTTAGGGGATCAGGAAGGAATTTATTTCCCTGCAGGAGCAAATTGGATCTTGCTTTGCTGGAATTTTTTTGCCTTCCTCTGGATCAACTGTGGGTATAGGATTATACTTTTTTTTTTTTTAATGATTGAACTGGATGGACTTTTGTCTTTTTTCAGCCAGATTAACTATGTAACTATATATTATTTCTATATAATTTTGTTTGTCTTTTTATTTGTTTTTTATCTGGGTCAGCAGCATGAACATGTTGGTGACACAGGCAAAACTGCTCTTTGTTAGCAGTATATCATCGCTTACAAGTTGTATTACACTTTAGTGCAGGGACGGACTGACAACTCATGGGGCCCCCGGGCAATAGGGGATCATGGGGCCCCTGTGTCCTTGCCCAAACTCTAAAAAGCCTATGAAAAAGGTACCAGGGGCATCTCATGGGGCCCCCTACTGACTCCGGGCCCTCGGGCAGTGCATGAGATTCCAAATGGTCAGTCCGCCCCTGCTTTAGTGCACGAAATCACCACATCATGAAGTGCACCAAAAAATGACATCCTCAATCCCCTGTGAGGGGTTTCAGCGCAGCCATAAAATAATATTTTAGGGCTTGCTGCCCACTTTTATTGCCGCAGCTGCTAATAAATTTAGGTAATCCCTGGTATTCATCATGTCTGAAAGGCCAAAGGGGGAGGCAGAAGATCTTATAAGTGCGGCTAGTAGAAATTGAGTAGGTTCTGCATCCACAGAATAAAGCGGTGGTCAGGTCACCACTTTGAGAGGCAAGGTACATTTGCCTTTTCTTTATGACAGTGCTATATAGCCAGAGCATGCAGAGAAGGCAGTGGAGTGAATGCTCAAGCCTTCATCACCCTCTTCCTCCTTCTTCCAGATAACAATCAGTGCGGTTTCAACAGCTGATAATGTGCTTTCTTTCTCCTCCTCATCCAGGTGAATCCCACTGTTGCCCCACCAACTGCTATGACGGAATCAACAGAATTATTTGAGCGCAGCTTCATCAGTTTGCTGCAGGAGGCTGAGTAGGAATTCATTTATCTGATGCTGACAAAGACAACATGAGGGGCATAAAGGGAGGGGCAGGGGCAGACTGACCATTTGGAAACTTGGGCACTGCCCGGGGGCCCGGGGTCAGTAGGGGGCCCCAAGAGATGCCCCTGGTACCTTTTTCATAGGCTTTTTTTGAGTTTTGGGCAAGGACACAGGGGCCCCATGATCCCTATTGCCCGGGGGCCCCATGAGTTGTCAGTCCGCCCCTGGGGAAGGGACAACAGGCAGGAAGAAGTAATTGCCATTAGTGGTCCTGTGGCTACAGCTTACTGTCAAGTGGGCTCAAAAGATGAGGGGAGTGGCAAGGCAGAATATTGTTCAGATACAGTTTGCAGAGGAGTGGAGGGAACAGTCTCCCTATTCCTCTGGATGGCACAGCTCTACAGGTGCAGGCCAGTGCTATGCCCATGTCTGTTCCACAGAGCTCAACAGTCTGGTCCTTTTTTAACACATCTGCTGCCGACAGCACCATAGTGGTTTGCAGCTTCCTACTTACTACTTACACACCTAAGTGTACCACCTCTTAACTGATGGGCTGGAAGAACAGTTCAATGGAACCCTGAAAGTTATGCTAAAAAAAGTGGTGGATAAGGATGGAAAAGATGGGAAATCCCTGATACTTAATGTTCTCAATAAAAGATGTGCCACAGTGCTCCGCAGAGTTTCCCCATTTTAATTTTTTTTACAGCACTCCTACCTGGGGACTCATAAATATAGCCCAGGAAACAAGGTAACAAGAGGCCTCATCTCACAAAAATGGTTAGAAGGTTGGAGGAGCTTTTAAACTAGAATCTGGGGGGAGGAGGGTATCAGATAAGGACATGCCATATAGAGAGCAAGGGTCAAAGAAGACACTAAGTATAGGGATTGGTGAAATGGGAAGAAGCGGGGTCTGGATGGCAGGGTAATTTAATTATTTAAGTTCAGTACCAAAAGGGATGCAGAATCAGTCTTTAATTCATGAGGAAACAATAGCAAAATAATGTTAAATGCTAGAACAAAAATAAAATATATGAACAAAAAAGGAAGTCTAGCAAACATTATAGTAGAGCTGGAACTTCTGATATTCCGGGATGATTTGGACTTTGTGGGAATAAGCTGGTTTGACAATTTACATGACTAGGCTGCTAACATCTAGGGGTACACCCTGTTTCAGAGAGACAAGACTGGTAGAAGAGGTGGACTGGCATGTTCCTATGTCAAGAGTGATCTAAAAGTGAATGTGAGAGAATACTTCATTAACAGGATTTACAGTGATGCAGAGTCATTATGGCTGGAGCTTCAAAAGAGTAAATTGATTGTGGGAGTATGTTATAGGCCCCCAACATGAAAAGCAAGGAAGAGTTTAAACTCCTTTCACAGAATGAAATGGCAAGAAAACAAGGCAATATTATTATGCATGACTGCAATTATTCTGATATTGATTGGGAAAATGGAACTGTACACTCAACACAAGCTTGTTCTTTCTTGAACTAATTGCAGGACAATTTCATGGGTCAGGTGGTAAATATTCCAACTCTGTCAGATCTATTTCAAATAACAGGAAACTCATTACAGGGGTGTAAGTTAGAGACAACTTCAGTAATAGCAATAATGGTTTAACCACTTACCTACTGGGTACTTTAATCCCCTTCCTGCCCAGGTCATGCAACACTGTGCCCATATGGCATTAAACGTTTTGTAGACATATAGAGCTTTCTTTTGGTGGTACTTACTCACCACTGTTTTTTTATTTTTTGCTAAACAAATTAAAAAAGACGAAACATTTTGAAAAAAATATTTTTTTTTCTTAGTTTCTATTATTACATTTTGCAATAGGTAATTTTTCTCCTTCACTGATGTGCGCTGATGAAGCTGCACTCATGGGCACTGATATGCAACACTGATGGGCACTGATAGGCTGCACTGATGGGTACTGATGAGGTGGAACTGATGAGGTGGCACTGATAGGCTGCACTGATAGGCGACACTGATGGGCACTGATAGGCGGCACTGAAGGTCACTGATAGACAGCACTGACTGGTGGCACTGATGGGCACTGACTGGCAGCACTGATGGACAATGACTGGCAGCACTGATGGACACAACCAGTGGCACTGGTCAACACTGACTGGCAGCACTGATGGACACTGACTGGCAGCACTGATGGACACTGTTGGTACTGCACTAATGGACACTTCTGGGACTGCACTGATGGACACTGTTGGGGCTGCACTGATGTCCCCTTGGGCTGCCCTGATGCCTTCTGATGTGTGAATAAACTTGCTTTCTTCTCTCCTCACTCCTCACAGTGTGATAGCATGAGGGAAGTGCAGCCAATAACCAGCAACTGTATTTACATTTTGATCAGCTGTGTAATTGGACACAGCTGATCACATGGTGAAAGGGCACCGTGATTGGCCCTTTACCATGTCATGTGATCAGCTGTGTACAAAGGACACAGTGATCACAGAGCTCATTGGGTGGATGCCCCAGGGGGCGTACAGGAGGTGCGGTTCTGGAGGGCATCATATGACTCCCACCCAGAACAGATGACCGCACTGTAGCTGTCATTCAGCTTTAGCCCAGTCGTCAAGTGGTTAATTAGCTTTGCCATAGGTTACAGGAAAGGGAGGCTTGTAGACAGAAAAAAATCTGAATTTCAAAAAAGGGCAACTCAATTGGAACAATTGTTATTACAAAGAACACAGAGAATTAGTGGGAGTGTTTCAAAGATGTATTAAAAACTGCATTGACAAGTGTATCCCATTGGGTAATCAACATAAAATAACAAAATTAAAACCTATGTGGCTACATTCTAGTATAAACACAAATTAATGAGAAAACATGGCCTGTAAAAAAATACAGATCGGGAGGGACATCCTTGACATTCCAAAGTTAGCATAAAATAAGAAATGCAAGAGAGCAATCAGGGCAGCTACAATACCGGTAGATTATGAACAAAAAAAACATTGTTACAATTTGTAAAACAAACTTAAAAAAAATGTCTCAAATATACCAGTAGTAAAAATGTAAGAACAAAACGTAAACCTCATAAAAAATGAACTTGGGGATTTGATCACAAGTGATAAGGAGAAGTTAATACATGCTTCTCTTTTACAAACAAAAAAAACAGGTTTGAAAGTTGAAGTAATGACAACAACAATGTACAGAATGCACCTCTGTGCTTGACAGTAAACCAGGAACACAACAGACCAGATAAACATAATGTGAATAAATCTCAGACCAAGAATATAATAATAATAACTTTAAGACCAGGCAGGTCTCATTCATGAGTCCTCAAAGAGCTCACATCTGTTGTAGCCAAGCTGCTATTTCTAATTTTTAAAGACACTTTACTGACTCGAATGGTATCAACCGATTAGAATAGAGCAAATGTGGTAATGATATAAAAAAAAGAGTCTAGATGTTTACCAGGTAACTACAGACCAGTTTTCTAAATAACAATTGTATGAAACGTATTTGAGGGAATGATACGGCACTACATTTAAAAATCTGTCTGTAAGGTATTATAAGCAATCACCAGAATTAATTTTATTAAAGATGTTTTTATCAGACCAACCTGTTACCAATCTATGAGGAAATAAGTAGCAATTTAGATTTAGAGTAAGGCCAGTAGTCCTGCTCTATCTGGATTTTACTATAACATTCAGCACTGTGCTTCATAAATGTTTTATTCACAAACCGAGGTCTATGGGTGTTGAAGAAACTCTGTACTTGGATAGGAAACTGATTTCATGAATGGGTCTGATCAAGAGAGTAGTGATAAATCATTCTCCAGATGTCTATGGTTGTTAGTGGTGAGCCCCAGGGCCCTCTCTTGAGGCTAATGCTGTTTAACGTATTTATTAATTATATTCCAGTCAAGGAAATCTACAGTCATAGTATACACTTTCATTTTATAACATTTGTAATAATTAAAGCAATACTTATTCTCGACAATCTAATATTAGCTTGTGTGAAAAATCTCCTTTCATGTTGTGAGTTCTACCTGTCTGCTGGCCATCTCTTTCCACAACTTCCTGGATTCCCTACTTGCTTTGCTGCTTCTCTTCTGCTGTTAATTTGAATTTCTAAGGACTACAAATGAGCAAAGGACAGGCCACAATGATATCCAGGAAGTAAATGTGTCACAAAATACATGTATAAACGAAAAGATTGTACAGAGTAAAAGGAGTAGGTTAGAAATAATTAAAAGACAATATGGAATGAATATATGATTTTACATTTTGACCATAGATATGCTTTAAGAGTTCACTTTCAGTGTTTGCGAAAATACCAAACTATGCAGGGAAATAAGTTGGGCAAAGGATGCAACCTACCAGGGTGACCTTGATAAAATAGGGAGATGGGCAACTACAGTGCAGATGAGGTGTAGCCTCCCTGACGGTATTCCCGAGTGTAGCTCGGGGTAAGGTTTCAGTAGCAAAAGCGGTAACCCCGAGCTACACTCAGGATTACAATGCGGCGCTGCTCCGGCATCTGTTCTTCACTTACCTTGTCCTGCACTCCCATGATGTCCCTCCTGCAGTGTCGCCTGTAATTTCCTCCGGTGGATGCCGGCATCTGTCATCTGGGTTCCGTCCCCTGCGAGCGTCGGGACGTACGGGGGACGGAATGGCGGGAAATTTGAAAATTACAAAAAGTGACATTCACTAAATACAATAAAATCACATTGTAAAACATTACTGTATCAAACCATTTCACATACATTTTGTCCCTAATGCTTTGTCCTGTGCCCTGCCTACATTTTTACTGTTCTTATTGCCTGGAAACTTAGAAACGTCCATGGCGTCCAAAAAGTGTCCCTTTAGGTCAAAAGTGGTTTTAGACCAGCTAGAGAACAGCGATAGTAAATCAGAACTACTTGCAGAATTGAATGATAATGATTCGTGGGGAAATTCGTGATCAGACACTGAAAACGATTTTGCGACTTTGCTCAGCGATGTGCGAACTTGGCGCTATATTTCAAATTTCAGTGTTTTTGGTTTGATTATATTATTGAATTAAATTTATTATTATTATATTATTATTTTTTTTTAGGATTATTTATTAAATTATCATTTATGAATTTGTGTTTTAAATTTTAACATACCCGGGATGTTTACTAGACTCTTGTTCGGACAGATTTCAGTGAGTTATTCCTAAAAATTATAGACCTACAATAAAAAAAATACATATTTCCATGCAAAAAAATTTACCACTTTGAGCACAGAAATATGGACATAATCAGACTGCTAGGGAGGTTAATATTGAAAAATGTAAAATTGTGCACTTAGGTGCTAAAAATACACATGCAAGATACTCATAAGGATGGGCTTTGGAACAATCTATGAAGGAAAAAGATTTGGAGGTCCTTGTAGACCACAGCCTTAACAATAGCATTCAATGCCAAGTTGCTGCTAATATAGCTAGCAGTATACTTTCATGTTTTAAAAAAGCCATACAGTATATTTAGGGGATAAATCAATAATTGTACTCCTTTACAAACCACTGGTTCAGTCACATCTTAAGTTTTTGTCACTGACCCAAGAGACGGATGCCCTTGCACTAGAAAAAGTTCAGAGACAGGCAACAAAATAATAAGAGGGGTGGAGGACCTTTGTTATAAGGAATGATTAGAGAGAATACAGTTATTCTTTCGGGAGAGAGGGGTATATAAGAGGGGATATGATCACACAATGTACAAATATATCATTCATTCTGGAGAGAGGGGTGTACAAGAGGGGATATGATCACACAATGTACAAATATATCATTCATTCTGGAGAGAGGGGTGTACAAGAGGGAATATGATCACACAATGTACAAATATATCATTCATTCTGGACAGAGGGGGGTGTACAAGAGGGAATATGATCACACAATGTACAAATATATCATTCATTCTGGACAGAGGGGTGTACAAGAGGGGATATGATCACACAATGTACAAAAATATATCATTCATTCTGGAGTGAGGGGTGTACAAGAGGGGATATGATCACACAATGTACAAATATATCATTCATTCTGGAGAGAGGGGTGTACAAGAGGGAATATGATCACACAAAGTACAAATATATCATATCATTCATTCTGGAGATAGGGGTGTACAAGAGGGGATATGATCACACAATGTACAAATATATCATTCATTCTGGAGAGAGGGGTGTACAAGAGGGGATATGATCACACAATGTACAAATATATCATTCATTCTGGAGAGAGGGGTGTACAAGAGGGAATATGATCACACAAAGTACAAATATATCATTCATTCTGGAGATAGGGGTGTACAAGAGGGGATATGATCACACAATGTACAAATATATCATTCATTCTGGAGAGAGGGGTGTACAAGAGGGGATATGATCACACAATGTACAAATATATCATTCATTCTGGAGTGAGGGGTGTACAAGAGGGGATATGATCACACAATGTACAAATATATCATTCATTCTGGAGAGAGAGGTGTACAAGAGGGAATATGATCACACAAAGTACAAATATATCATTCATTCTGGAGATAGGGGTGTACAAGAGGGGATATGATCACACAATGTACAAATATATCATTCATTCTGGAGAGAGAGGGGGTGTACAAGAGGGGATATGATCACACAATGTACAAATATATCATTCATTCTGGAGTGAGGGGTGTACAAGAGGGGATATGATCACACAATGTACAAATATATCATTCATTCTGGAGAGAGAGGGGTGTACAAGAGGGAATATGACCACACAATGTACAAATATATCATTCATTCTGGAGAGAGGGGTGTACGAGAGGGAATATGATCACACAAAGTACAAATATATCAAATGTGACTATACAGTAGTAACTGTAATAAACTGTTTACTCTCAGGTCCCTGAAGAAGACATGTTCCCACAATTTAAATTCAGACACAAGGAGGTTTAATCTTACATGGTGAAAAAAGTACTATAACATTAGAG